TATAATTTAAAACAGAAAAATTAAATACATTGCCAATATTATGTGAAAGTCAAAGGCCTAAGACATCATGATCCCATCATCAATTCATCATCTATCTTTCCTAAACATATGTTGATTTTTCATTTTTCTCCCTATTTTTTAATTAAAGTAATAATTTGACTTGGGTACTAATTTTTTTAGCATAAATGTCAACAAGAGAAACCATATCAAGCTAAGCAAAGAAATAGAGTAGGTACCACATGCTAAAAATTAGTGAAACATTTCTCTGTTTAATTCATGATAAGTAGATTGCACATGCAAGAGTTTAATACATTTTAATGTTTCATCCTTGATGATATTTTTGTGTTTTATGCCACCACATGGCATGATGCATGATAATGCTGATAATACTCACCAATCATTCATTTATAAGATCTTAGAAAATTTGTTGCAATCCATCCACTCTTATACTTAATTGAGTTGAATAATTACCAAGTCAACTTCCATGTGTATCTCTAGAGTAATTAATATAATACTTGCAAAACGAGAGATTAGCAGTTTATGTGATGAGGATAGAAATAATGGTACTACAAAAAAAATAAAATAAAAATAAAAATGAAGGTAATGATACACTTATTTGATTTAAAACTGTTTTGAGAGAATGCTGTATCAACGAATGAAGGAAGCCTATATTTACGAACCCTTCAAACTATTTGACATTAAGGCATTAAGCCTAATCAACTATTTATATGTTGAATCCATTTCATAACATATTCTTTTATTAATGTAATGTAAACTCACTCTATCATGTGTGAATATGAGAAAGTTCAAACATTCAGGAAAGTAATTCTAACCATTAAAGTTTGCATGACTCTATACATCACATTTATCTAGAAGTAAGTGTGCCATACCAAAACAAACCCCTACTCCAAATCATCTCGTAATTAGGCCAATACAATTAGATGACATTGTATATAAAGTCAATATCACGCTATAAGTTTCCAATTAATACATTAGCACAAATCCATTATTATATTGGCCAATATCGATTCATATATAAAGATTTATATTCCTTTTTCATTGTTGTTGCTTTATATAAGAGCACACGTTTTCAATTGAACTTGCTTAATAAAAAGAACTTAAAGGCCCCTGTTAGCCTAAATACAAATTAACATTTTGTCTAGTATAAAATTTATCGAGTATTAAAAATAAAATAAAATTAAAGCACAAAATTTTAAGTCATCCATTTATGTTCTCTAATCACACTATGAAATTATAACGTACCAATAAAGTGCATTGACGTAATAAATTATGCAATAATTACCTATTTGAGGATTTAGTAGATCGATTAGAGTCACTATAGACAAATGACGTCAAGGTTGCCAACACAAGGTTGCCAACACAGTAAAACTTGACTCACTAACAAATTTTAGAACCCCGATTCAATTGAATTGAGAAAGATCAGATTTGTGACCCGACTACACATTTGCCACCTCCGAAGCTCCGAACACTTGCTTCTCTCTCCTCTTCTTCCTCGTTCAACCGCTGCTTCCATCTTCTGGAAAAATGGTACTTGTTCTTCTTCTCTCATTCTTTTTCGAGCGATTTTTATACTTTTGAATCGATGGATTCGATCTAATTCTCTGTGATTGATTTATAGGATCGAAACTTAGAAACTATTTTGATCTTCAAATTGGTGTATTTTCTGTTGTTTTTCACGCTTCTTCATTGAAAGATTGTTCAATTGTGCTGTAATTTTTGTCGAATTGTGATTAATGATTAGTAGTTATTTTGCCCTAATTTCACGATTTACTTTTGATCCTGATCGTGTTCTTCAATTTCTGCGGAATTGTTATCATCACATTGTATAATGTAGTTGTTTTTCTGGAAATTGAAATGCTGATTTTTGACTCGTAATTGATCGATTTTAACCTAATTTTACGGATATGAGGTTTAATTGATTGATACATTGTGCGAAAAATTGGGTATATAGTATTTTTTTAATATGTAATGTTGGAATGTGATTTCCAGATTCAGTTCGTGGTTCTTATTAATCGACAAGGGAAAGTGAGGTTGACGAAATGGTATTCACCTTATGCTCAGAAGGAAAGAACAAAGGTGCAATTTCAATAATTTTGCTGGTTATACTAATGCTTTTGCATTAAATAGTTTCATTTGTTTGTTTTTTTGACGAGAAATTGCAAATTTTTTGAAGATTGTTCGCGAACTGAGTGGATTGGTTCTCTCTCGGGGTCCAAAGCTCTGTAACTTTGTAGATTGGAAAGGTTTAAAGGTCGTTTACAGAAGGTATTGTTTATGTTTAGGTTTGTCCTTGCATTCATTGAAATGATCATGCTATGTGCTGTACTATTCAGTATTTTCTGCTAAATGTGGGTTCAGTTTTGATCTAGTTATGATGTTCTATGCTGAAATCTTGTAAATGTAACTTCACCTGGTGAGATTCATTTGCAGTATTACAAAAATTAATTGATTAGTCAATGCTTGGCAGATATTACTTCCGAGTCCTGACATGCAACATGTTGAAATTAATCATACTTGGCAATCTTTTATACGATATAACCATATAAGGTTGCTTAAGAGTCAGAGGGTTATTCTTGGTGGAGAGTTATAAGGGTGTAGGAGTCGGTCAGCGGTAAATTTGACTGGCATAAGTAATTAGAATTTTAGAACCAAGAATAACCATCTGGCCTATGAAAATAGGTTAAGCAGTGAGTATGTCCTCTAATTATTTGGGACTTATAGCTCTATAGCTTGTAAAAGGTTTTTATTATTGGTGAGACTCCAATCAAAAGTAGATAAAGTACTTCAATCCTGTTATCTTACTCATTAATTATTTACTTTTTCTTTCAACAAGAAGGATCTGTTCTACCATGTCCAATGGCTAGGAAATTAGGGTCAAAGATATGCTAAATTTTCATTCTGAACTGAATTTTTATTTACAGCCCTGCCAATCCTGCCATTTGATGCCTTTATTAAGCAGCTTCTTCCACATTATTTCTTGCGGAGTCGTTTTTGTTAAGATTCATTTGAATTCTCAGCCTTATCTAAAAGTCTTCAATACCTTTTCATCAAGCTCTTGAGTCATAATATAAAAGACAAGTCCCACCCTTCCTTTCTTCTTCTCAAATTGCTACTGCTCTATTAATTTATTGTAAGGTGACTAGGAATTCTGAGCTTGCTGAAGGGACAGGTTTGTATTTGGCTGCAGTGGCCTTTTCCTCACACTATTATGTGAACTGAAGAGCTTTTTAGAATTTAATAGGATACTACTGTCAGCGACCTTTTCTTTTATTTTTTAATGGCTCCAGCAGCCTTTTATGCTATATCTCTTTCTAAGAATTTGGCTGCTGCTTTGTGAAAATAACTCCATCTTTGCAAATTGTATATCTTCTATTCGTTTGATTACGCATTTTTAATAAATTTTCTGCTGTAGTTGATGAATAAGCTTATGTGTTTTATATCGTCGAGTTGTTGCCTCTTATCAGACAAGATTTCATGTACCATATAGTTCTCTTGATCTCAAAATGATGACATTTAATGTTTGGATTTTCAAAAATTTGCTCAATATCTACCCACCCTTGGTGTTATGCCATTATGTGACAAGGTTTTTTTTTTTTTTTTTTTTTTTTTTTTTTTTTTTTTTTTTTTTTTTTTTTTCTTGCTTCTGATGAATCTTCTTATTTTTGAACCTCATTGTGGTTTGAAATTGTTTCTGCTATTTTTGATGAATTTCTTCTTATTCCTGACCCTCATAATGGATCCTTGACTCATGTTTTCTTACATTGATAACCCATGCAGATATGCAAGTTTGTATTTCTGCATGTGCATTGATCAGAATGACAACGAACTAGAGGTTCTTGAAATTATCCATCACTTTGTTGAGATTCTGGACCGCTATTTTGGAAGTGTGAGTTATATGCCTCAACTGTTAGTAGTCCGCTGGTGGTTTCTTTTCTTTTGTTATGAGTTCTATGTCTAAATAAGAATTAAACTCCTTTGCAGGTCTGTGAATTGGATTTGATCTTCAACTTTCACAAGGTAAGAGTATGCCGTGTGCAATGTGACATTTCACAATCTTTTCTGTTAGAATTTTCTTACTGATATGTTGTCTGGTATGGTTATGATAGGCATATTATATACTTGACGAGATTTTGATTGCTGGTGAGTTGCAAGAATCGAGCAAGAAAACAGTTGCCCGCCTGATTGCCGCACAGGTGCAATACCTACTTGAATGTTGTATGTACTCAATTGCTGTATGTGTCAGCTAACATTGAGGATATGGTTTTGTAGGATTCACTGGTGGAGGCTGCAAAAGAGCAAGAAAGCTCTATCAGTAATATAATTGCACAGGCCACAAAGTAGGCTGCTGTCACCCGCTGAGTTTCATATTCGATGATCACCTCTATACCTGGCCAAGTTCTAGTGAAATTGTAATCATATTTTTTTTAAAATGAAAATATCTCTTTATTCTCATAGTGTATTGTTGCAGTTTCCAAAGTACTACATTGTCTAGATGGTTCTTGTTATTAAATTTGTATCCGTTGTATTTTGTTACTGTTTTAAATGTTCTTATACAGGGGTTTTGTTACATATGCCTGCAATAATATTATACTGAATTTTGTTGCAATTGTTTCTGCGTAATTTGTCTTCTATCATATACTGCAGATTTCTTTATCTCAATTTTATAGCATTGTCCATTTGAGGTTTCACCTTGACTTGCTGTTTTATCTTTGCTCTTACTTCTGTAAGAGTAATGTTTTAGGCGGTGTGAGGACTGAGATGTCCTGTGTTGGTTTTAGTATCTTGTACATGATGAAGTTTATTAGAGTAGTAAGCAATTGATTGCAAAATTCCACAAGTATTCACTTTCCTAACTTTGTATATTCTGTCACCAGTCTTACCCCAAAATAGATGGTGCACTATAATTTGGTTAAAATTTCAGAATCCAGAACCGGGGAGGGCTTTGTTCTGTGTTTTATTTGTCTGTAAAACACGATGAATTCTAAAGAAAGAGATATCAGATCCTATATTGTGCTTACATGTAGCAAGCTTAAGTTTCATAGATAAAAAAAGTTAAAGGCAAGCTTATTTCGCCAAACAAACTCTACATCATAAGCTTACATGAATGGAAGAGGAGCTCTCTGAGTTTCCAAACAATTACAACGTTAGATTTTAGAATATACAAAGGTATCGTACAGTCTTTTACTAAACATAGAAGCAACACTAAAAATATCCTACTTCGCTTTTATGTACCTCTTCCTCTTATCCTCTATGTACAAATCACAAAAAATATTGAATCACAAGATCTCTTCTCTAGTGATGAGCCTCTCAGTTATGCATTGAAGTTTATAATTTGGATTTTGCCAACTGATAATCCTGTATACATGTTGAAAACACGTCAACTAAAATATTAAACAAGCTATTAAATGAACAATTATAGAAATGTCAAACGGTTTAATTTTAGTACCAAAAGAAAAAAAAAGGACCTTTTAGAACAAGTCCATAGGAGAAGCAAGGACTCCATCGTCATCCCATCTGACTTCCTTTGCACCTGTATCTCTTTTAATCAATTGAAGGGGCACCTCCAGGGTCGGTGGGTCCTGTAAGCAATACATGAAATGTCAACACCACCTCTTTCCATAGTTAAAGAGAGACAGGCTATACTTTTGCAGGATGTAGAAAGTGATGAGAGAAAGTTTACCATGCAACGAATCAGAGGCCAGTTTATTTCACGGAAAAAAGGGTGCTCTTTTATTTCACTGGCACCCCCTTGGGATCCCAATCTCGTAGCAGGATCTCTGCTTAATAGCGCATAAATTAACTGTCTTGCTGCAAGACTTACCTGCAATATCCAGACACACATGTTATCTGCAATGAGCATCAATTCATCACAAACCCAGGCAATAGATGCAAAGCAACACAGCATTCAAATTTTACTAAAATTTCAAATTCATATGTAAATGTTTCATAAGGAAATTTTCTAGTTATGAAGCAAATATATGACAGTTAACATTCACATTCAAACCTTAGATGAAAAAGCATCAGGTGAAAGAACTTGAGCATTTAAACTAAAGATATTAATCTTAAAATGTGGATTCTCTTCTAGTTCTTCTCCTGGGATGTTAAAGCAAGGGGGAGTTATAAAAAAAAAAAAAAGCTTCCCATGTTATCAAATGAATGTCCAAGTTGCTGTAGTTATTTCAATGGATCTATAGCAGTTTCACTTAAAATTTTTGTTACCATGGCCATTCTATGAAAAAAAAAATAGTTTATGTCAGCTCAAACAAGCTCACAGCTCTCAGCACTAATTACCACATGTCCGCATTAGCAAGAGGTTGCAACAGCTTCCACCTATGGCCTGGTCAATATAAGTAGTACAATATATAACCCGAGTTTCTGCTATGGTGCTAGCCTTACGTTGTCAGCTTTTTGACCAAAAAATGATATATTGAGGACAATACAGAAAATACTATACATTATTGCACAATACTCCATTTCTAAAACAAGTTAGCATCTTCTTTTTGAAGATAAAATTTAAACTTGACTGTAATTTTATACTATTATAAGATAAAACACTATCTTAAGAGGTCTTATATATTTGCATCAATGTGTATTTCAAAATAGATCTTTCATAAATTATATCAGTAGAAAAAAGACAAAGGTAAAACACAGAAACACAAAATATTCTAGAACAGGAATTTTTACCGGAATGCTGCTTGGAAATGTGAGGTCTTTGTGCATTATGTTTGCAAATGTCTTTTGTCTGTTCTTACCCCGGAAAGGTGTACGTCCATAAAGCATCTCATACAACAAAATTCCTGGGGAAAAGAGGAAAAAGCTTAAGCTTTAATTACAAGCCTGCTGATATTCTTTTGTGATACATCAGGTAAGAAATAACATAAATGGTGGAATAACAAAGGTTTGTGAAACAATGGACCTCTACCATGTGACAGTCACTTTAACACCCCCCTCCCCCCCCACCACCTCAAACAAAATAAAAAAATAAAATAAATTTTTTTTTGAAGGGAGACCAAAAATTGCATTTTCAGAATTCCTAAAGAGAGCTTCGTGTATTCACATAAGAAAAAAGTGATAAATAAAAAAAAAAAAAAATTAGAGTTGAATGTACTCACCTAGAGCCCACCAATCAATAGCACTAGTATGGCTAGCTCCAGTAATAACTTCCTAAAATACAAAGACATGTAAGAGCTCTAATATGAAGAAGCAAGGTAATTACCTGTTAGACAACTTAAAAACCTACGAGACATACTGATACAATAATATACACTTAAAATTAGACAACATGTATACTTGATATTTCAAGAAAATTAATGAAATTGAGCAATTATATAGCATAAATAGGGATTAGGAACACAGTTACTTCATAGATTGCAAAGATAAATTAATTTAGGAAAACGGGTTATATAGTCAATAATTTTATCAGGTTTTGGTAACAAAGTCAAGCAGTTAGAGTGCTAGACAAGCTCTTAAATGCAATAATCAGGTTATATGAGGAATACTTGTTGAAATTAAAACATATAAAAGTTAACAGAAAAGAATAAAACATACAGGAGCAATGTACTCCTCAGTTCCAACAAATGAATTAGATTGGGTAGCTGGCTCTGCTACAAAAGCCGGTGGTGGTTGACTTCGGGAGCTTCTTTTCTTTGGTTGTGGAGGCTTTATTATCTGCCAAGTTAAGAAAAAAACGAAAAAGGTCACACAATATGAGAAATAGCTTAAATGATGACATTAATAATAATTCAATTGTTCTGCGTCCACACATACATGAGGTTTGCAGGCTGTCAAGAATGAGAGGTCAAAGTCCGTTAAAACAAGATGCCCATTCTTCTGCAGTAGTATATTCTCAGGCTTCAGGTCACGATATATGATACCTACTCCACATCAATGTAAAAATTAGTTAGAAACAATAAGTAATAAAAGGACAATATGACATAAGAATTTCAGCCATGTGTAGCAACCAGATACAAAATTGTGAGATTCATCTTATCATGCGAAGGGGAAAAAAAAACACAACAAACTTCCACTACACTACGCCATTGGCATCTTAATTCTTATCTGAAATCGAAAATCTCCAGATTGTAGGACATGCACTTTAGGCAACAAAAGAAGATTATCAAAGGATAGGATATGTCGATATGATCCAACTAAGAGGAATATATGTGTGTGTGTGTGTGTGTGTGTGTGTGTGTACTCTAGAACTGATATCATTGCCAATACTAAGATAAAAATATACAGCAACAATCCGCTAATTTGAAAACCTAGTAGAGAGGTTTATTGTAACTACTATACATACTAAAAAGAGACCCGTGAGTTTGTCATGGATCAATAAAAAGATGCATATGGAAAGTCAATAACTACATGACACTTTCAAATGTAGAATGTATTGTGACCATTACATTGTCCATCGTTTTGAAGCAAAAGGGAACCACAAAACCTAGCACAATAATGCGTACACTTTTAAAAAAAATTACACATCAATTTATAGGAAGCCAAATAGGAAGAATAAGGGTTCACTTTAGGAAACAGGAGAATTTTCTTGTAATTGGAATATTTTTCATTTTCTCTGATGCTTTATAGCATAGTTAATTTATGTTCAACTATATTCAAGAAGTAATCATCAACGGAAAAAAAAAAAAGAAAAAAAAAATTCAAGAAGTATTCTTAATATATTCTGAAAAAGAAAACCTCATAATAGCTAAACTCTATCCAATGAGTACAAAAACAATATTGAAAATTGACAACAGTACCTAAACAATGAAGATACTCTAGTCCAATTACAACCTCAGCTGCGTAGAACCTGAGGATTAGGCATCAGTCAATAGTCAATAGCAGAATCAACACAGACAAATAAAATTACAAAGATTGTGACTCAAAATGTTAATTTAGTTTAAACAAAATAAAGCCATGGTTGCACCAAGTGATCAAACAGATTGTGAGCGGATTTTTGCAAAAAAAGAAATTTGGTCCAATGAAATTTTTGACAAAGCAAGAGGCTGAAGCACCTAGTTTAAAAACCATGATGATACAGATATATTTAGTAACCACAAGAAACAAATGGTGGGTTCTTATACAAAGATACAGAGTACAAGACGTAGACAGTGATGGGTAAATTAAGCAAGAAAAAACAAGTGTTGGAGTCACCAACGCACCTAGCTGAATCCTCCTTGAAAATTTTCAATGGCTGCAAGTCAAGCAAAGCAAAAAGCTCTCCTCCAGGGCAGAAGTCGGTTATCAGACAAACATGTGTAGAAGTCTGAGGAAAAAAAAAAAACGTTAGCGAAACAAACTCCATTGAGGAGACAATTACTGAGAAAACCAATATAATGAAGATTCAGGAGTTTGGTATAGATTAGTAAATTATATAGCTCATAGTTTCACAAGGAAAGCAACAACTTTATTTATTTATACAAGCACCTTCCAGCCCTCAGGTCAGCCTGATTTCAATGATGACCATCTAAGTATCTAACTACCAATTGGTTGTCAAGGTAATTCCTTCTCTTCCAATAATGCAAGTGCAACATGAAAATTCTGACTTTACTCATGAAAACCATAAAATGATTGTCTAGTTACATCCAGTTCGAAGCTGAAAATACTAAAAAATATGCAGTTTAATAGAGGCTACTAAATCACTAATATTAAGTTTCAGTGGAAACTTCAGTACTTGGTAGAATAAAGAGATACATACTGGATATGGTAAAATTTTCTGATAATAAAATAACTTTCCAGCTTTCACTGGTTACAAAATTAATTAAACCACCTTCCATTGAATGCAGTAGAAACAGCAAAAAGCCAAACACAAAATGCAGTAAGGAACATAGGGAGTCAGTGAGATTCCATATAGTGTCAAACTTTAAAATTTACAGTTTTCAGGTCTGAGACATGGACATCAAGATTTAACATTTGGATAACATATAATCAGTAACTACATGGATCCAAGAGGTTTATTGACAAGTTACAGTATATGGTAACAGTGAGCTCTATATACAAACTATTGCTAAGCATTTTAAAAATGTGTAGTAAATACGAGCTTCAGGAAGCAGGAGATGCTCAAGAAACATGCATTTTCAGACCTAGGAATCAAGTTCGGTATATATATATATATATATATATATTTATTGCAAGTCTGGAGAATAGGATGAAGACCTATGTACTGAGATGCTGGGGAAGGAAGAAAAAAAAAGTAATATAGAGGTAAGTATATCAAGACCTGAAAAGAAGCATATAGTGTAGGAAGGAAAGGATGATCCAGCATAGAAATTATTTCCCTTTCAACACAAGCACGATGCACCTGTAAACAATTAGCAAGTATTAGCAAGGATGATCCAGCATAGATCCTTCTTCACAGGTATAGTAGATGGGTTATAACAGCATAAAATTTCTTCAACCACCATGTCTAAAAACCTATCCTAACACAGTGGAAACAAGAAAAGGGAATTTCCTGAACCAGTTCAGGCATCATATACAGTCAATTAAATACAAGAACTCAAAGACTTGTATATTTTTTTGACACACACGCGCAAATGCACATTACATATCTGTAAACTGTCTGCAGTCTCTGAAAAGTCAAATAGGAAACCCACTAAGCCTAGAAGATGAGGATCCTAATGCTGAGAAATATTAAATATTCACACATGTTACAGAATAAAAATCAACTTCAGTATGCAGCCTGTGTAGAAAACAGACTCCTAAAAATGTAGAAACTTGTATACTTTTACCGTCACTTATAATCAAAGGCCAGTCCTAAGGATTATCTGAGCAAAAACACACAATAAGTGACCTAGTTCCTACAAAAGCTTTTCTGAAGGCTTCCCAACTTCATGGAAGGGATCACATTCTTAATTTTCATAAGGTGCAACATACCAGAAAGAAGCACACTTTTCTAAAATTAAAAATCATTCCTCTTAGTTCAAAGGCAGAGTGCACAAAATTAACATGCAATGCAAAATGCCCACGAGAAATAAGAAAATTGAGTAGTAATTATGAAGTCTAAAATACTATCAATATAAGGTTGTTTTTAACATGCAATGCTAAATGCTTGCGAGAAGATAGAAAATTGAGTAGTAATTATGAAATCTAGAATACTATCAATATTAGGTTTTTTATATTTTTATTTAATAACACAGCTTCACTTGATATTTGAAATACAAGAAAATTCAATAGTTGTAATAACATATGTATGGATCAAAACAGAGCAAAAGATACATATCAGAACGCAAGAACAGGACCCAGACCCCAAATTTCCAAAAAAACAACCTAGAAGGTTAACAACATCAGGTTAAAAAGAAACAGCTAATTTGCAGCCAGGTAATGTGGCATGAGCACAAAATATTGCAAATGCATTTAGTTAAGTATAAAAAAATGATAAAATTAGCCAAAACAATCATGTTATAAATGATTAACCTTATTACGGTTCAGCATAACAGACTTATCCATTGCCTTCATTGCGAAGAGTTCTCCTGAACCTTTCAGCTCCACCAAATGAACACTGCAGCAAGCAAAAGATAAAAAAAAATAATGAAGCCAGTAAACTAATTGGCATATAATTCAATTAGCATGCTAGGAAGAACAGGATCTGACAGTAATTACAATAAACAATATATAGAAGCAACAGAGCAGCAAATTTTAAATTTGAAAAAGATATCAGCCAGCAAAGTAATGGTGAAACAAAAATGAATAGAGTATACAGCAGAATGAGTGAACTGATTCAAGAACATGACCAAATAGTGAAATAGTAGCACAATAGCAAGACTGCATGGGGTAAGTTTCTCTTCCAGGAAGTACCAAATTGAGTAGTTTGCTTTTACTCTTGGAATGTAGGAACTAAAGTTAGTTCTTGCAACCAAATTGTGATGATTTGATCCAATCAAGGTGTGAATTTTATGTTTTCAAAAGTTTCCTTGAGAAGTTTTGTACAATACCAGATATGACCTCTAATTGGTCATCATTTTGTCATTCACAGGCAAAAATGGTGATGCTTATTACCCTCTGTGGTCAAGACAGAGTCAGATTTCATCAATGAGGGCTAATTAGGTCATTCCTATCTGAAGGTAGTGTAAACATGTTCAAAAAAGCTTTAAATATTTTACAAAAACAACTGTAGAAAGAACTTGCTGAAAGTGCTACATGAAGGCAGTCGTTTATGGATTCTCCCATCAAAGAATTTGATAATTTAAAACTATGTGGAAATTAAGATATGAGCCAAGCACTCAAGCAGTTTCCTACATGCAAAATGCAGGCCAGGGTAAATACATCAAACACATGTTTCTGCTCAATGTCGCAAAAGAGATGATAAAACCGGTACTCACATCAGTTTGAACAAAGCAAAACTATTACAAGGAGCCTACTGCCAAAAGCAAGGGGGTGGAGGAAGCATTCTAATAGTTAAAGCAGCAGTACCTTCCAGTATCACCACAACCCAATGGTTTTATGGGCTTAAAATGATCCAAACCAATTTTTTCACCACCTGCAGTAATCTAAAATGCCAAAGAGATTCAGTACAAAGCCTTAGTACTAAAATAATTTAGAGGATACCAGTTAATACAGAACGGAATTTTTTTTTGAACAAACATGACAACATATGTATAACCCTATCAAACCTTTTGGATTGCAGCCCAAGTGGCTGAGCCCTTCTTATGGGGCTTTGGGTAAACAGGTTCAGAATGAATTGCCCACAGGTCTTCTGGCCTCTGGAAAACAAGTAATATCAAAAGGCAGCTTCAGCAACAAGTCAACATACTTTCAGAATTATGCAGCCAGATAGTTTCAGAATTATGCAGCCAGATAATTGGTGATGCTCACTGAGATAACTAGCTAAGAATTGGTGAAACTACTTTGCTTGCCTCATACTTAACTCTGTACTTTGGATTGACATGAAGAATAAGTATTTTGTTAAAGTTAAATATATAAAAAATGAAAGTATAAAATGAAGGAAAACAAAATTACGTGAAAGTGTTGGAAATGAAGAGAAATAGAGAAATAGTGTGGGCATGTTAAAATAAGTGTGATAGGGATGTGTAAAAATATTTATAGGACACCCCATAATGGAATGCGTTAAGTTAATTTACAGGTAATTATTCATTGTCTAAATTAACTTGTTAGAAAGCTAAATGCCAAAAATATGACTATGATCAGATAAGCTAGGGGTCAATAATCCTAAAATGCAGTACAAGAAAGGTACCTTACCAAATTGGCATCGGGAAGTTCTCGAACAGCTTCATCAACATTTTCTGCAGTAGCTTTGACCTGAAAGTTGAATTGGGAAAAAAAAAAAAAAAGACAGACAAATAAGGAAATTGCAGCTATGTGAAACAGTAAATTATGAAAATTGTTAGTAAACTGACAACATACCAGCCAAACTACATGTATAATTGCCAAAATATTCAAAACAAAACACAAAAACAAGAGAGAGCACAAATACTTCATCAGGATCCCTAACATGACTACAGATGTATGGAATCACAAAGTAAACATGAATGGCCTAGAGCAAATCATTGTGAAACAGAAGAATATGCACAATACCCACAATCAAATTTTCAGTTACAAGAATCTAATTCATTTAGATTCCTTCCTCAATTTTTAATAAATAGTGTCATTACAAGTATGTATAGTTTGTGTGTGTGTGTTGGGGGGGGGGGAGTATACACATAGATCACCAGTACTGATGAGCCAAATGTGTACTGAATTAGTATGTAATCATTATAATGCCAAACTAAATTTCAATAAAATAATATAGTTCAGTAAAGCTGCAGCTTATCTACATGATAAGATGCTTGGACTTGGATGTGAGTATTGAACTCTCGCATAGATCCAGAAGTCTAACGACTTGGATGTGAGTATTGAACTCTGGCATAGATCCAGAAGTCTAACATGGAAAATTTTCAAATTCAAGATGATGGGGGCAGGGCTAAGGAATTCAAGTGTCAAGTACTGATTTCATACCATGCCTGAAAGTTGATGAGGGAGGGAGGGTTGAAGTGAGTTATGTAATTCTAGTGAGGTTACAAGATATAGAGTGTTAGACCAAATAACATACCACTTTAGCACTTTGTTGTTCTGTTCTCTCTGACAATCGGTTACGTAATGGTTCAACATGATCACTTCCATCTAATTGCACTCCTATAAAGTATTGCAGCTCCCCCTAGACAGAAATACAAGAGAACATACAACAATGAAATTGAGGAATAAATATATGTTGCAACAATAACTCCCATATCCAAATGCATCTGACAGCTTGGATTTGTTTTAAGCCATAACTTGATTTAATGCATCAAATACTAATCTTGTATACCTTCTGATCTTTCATGGGTTGCAAATGAAACAAGTTCCAAAACTTCTTTCCTGAAAACCGCAAGTTATACCGTTAACTAGCCGAAGAATGAGAAATTCAAGCTCAATCCAAACAGTAGTAGATTGTCATTCAATGCTCATAGCAATTCTTATCTAATATGTTTCCAGCTGTTACGTGTCAAAGCTATACGCTTACCACTTTTAGTGTAATTTATTAATTGAACGGTGATATCCCGCTGCTCCCTGATAGCATCTCTTATTTTTTGGACAGTGGCCTGATCTGTCTCTGGTCCCTGAAGAAACCTGCAAGTTTGATGAAGGCATAAATGGAAGCAATATTAGTTAAAAATAACAAGGCAGAGAATAACCTGCACAAAATCAGATATAAATAAAAGTTTAGAACTCTAGCTTCCAACACTTAAGATTAGACATTACAAGGCAGACAATTAGTAAATAGTAAGTACTCGCACTAAAATGTGAAACATACTCATGTTAGAGACAAGAAATATGGCAAACTGGAATGTATTCAACATACGAAGAAACATTGCATCAAGATCAAGCTCACTGAAGAGCATTCAAATTAAGATACTGTAACACGCATCAACACCAATTTGAACTGCAAATGCACTGGATGAAGTTCACATTAGACTTATTTATAACTCCACATGCATTAGTGCCCAAAATAAATATGTTGATAATACATAATAATTCTGCATATACAAGCATTGACACAATCATGTGGCTAACCTGTTTATGATCCATAGTGTTAGTTATGATTAAACATAGGGATAAACATGTGCCTCACTGCTCAAGTTGATTTGCTAAAGGGATTCTTAATATATATACACTGACAGTGATACGCCAATCCCTAGTACTGAGTAAGATTTAAAGTCACATGTTTCAGGTTCATAACAGTGAAGCCAGTGATTACCACACAAGTACAAGGCAGCCACTATCAATTTAAGAGACTTAAGTGGTTATAAGAAAAAGTCTTTAACCATAAAGAGCCAACAGTACATGCAATTCCCAGCGGTAACCTCCTCATAGACGAGGAAAGAGCATAAATAGGATAAGAATAATTCATACCTACAGTTTCTTCCCAAAATTTCCTCCCGTGTAAACTCTGTCAATTCAAGAAAGCTATCGGATGCAAAAATCTGCAAAATGAAGCAGTGAGCTCGTGTCAGTTTCTGGAAAGCTAAGGAGCCTCAATTTTTACTTAAAGATAAAATAACTTAATATCTGGAGGCTTAGGATTTAGGAACTCCAAGATAAGGATTAGAAGTATTGTAACTTATAAGACAAGTGGATAAACTAATCAACAACTAAAAATTTCTTCTGCAACACTAAACATACAATTGGATTATCTGGAAGCCTGGGATCAGTAATCACAAAATTCTTCTCAATACGCTCTAATGTTGTTGCTAAATCAATTCCTTGTCGTATGTCTCTTTCTCTTTCTGCACGCTCCCAGCTGTCAGGACGATCTATTTCTATCGGTATAAGAAATTCTGGCTCAAGACTTGGTTGTCGTTCATGCTTAGCAGAGGACCTCCCTTTAAAACTGCAGACAAACAAGAGTTTTGTGAAACAAATTTTTTATAGTGATGTGGATCTAAGTAGAGCCACAAAGAAAGTAATAAGGATAGGTCAACACTATCGCATGATTGAGGGTTCTCGACAATCACAAACAGCAAGATGAGCACAAATTCCAACAAGTGTCTTTGGTTTTAACAAAATTATCAAAATCTAATGAACAAGCACAGTGTTCATCTAGGAAATTTGCTTGAACTAGGAATACTAATTAAACTGGGAATCCTACTTTCTCAAGCAAAATAAAAACATGCAAGCTGAATCTAGACTAAAATAGAAACTAAGTAAAAGAGAAGAACACAGCCAAAAGAATGTCAAAAAGAAGGAAGAAAAGAATTCCTTGCCACGTAGTTTTTTACTCTACCATAACACAATGACCTATAACATAATGAATTTCAAGTTATTACACTCACCCCAATAAAGAAATACGCGCAGATTTTCTAGAGCTCTTGTCAGAATCTTTACTAGATGCGTCAAATTTAGGAGTCTCCCTACCAGGGGTTGACAGCCTACCAGGAGTTCCCACATTGTCAATTTCTGCAGATTTTGGCAGCATATAATCGAGATTGAATTTCCCTGCAACCTCCTGTTTTTCAGCATTGATGTTACTCACACTAAGAGATCGTGGTTGCTTCACAGTTTGAACAACCTCTATTATGGAACCCAATGCTGCTTCCTTCTGACGAGCTGATGCATCAGACAATTGAAAGTAAAATTTGTCATGCATAAAAAGATATGTACAACATTAGAGAAGAACAAGGAAAACAACAATGTTCTACAAATTCTTACCATCATAACGGATTAGTGACTTTGGCAAGCCATTAGGACGTAATGCCTTGTCATTTATTCCTTCGGTGTATTTACTGACCTCGACCTGCATTCTGTTGCAACAATGTCAATTTCAGGTGAAGTCACAGATTGTAGTTGACATCAGCCCACATTAGAAAATGTACCTCTTGAAATTGCCACTAACTTGAACATATTTTTAGTCTGTATAACATCTAGAAAGTTGGAAATGAAGCCAGAACATGCACCCAAAACACATGATTTTATTGTACTCCTTTTTCCAAGCTCCTAAATTATTTAACACATTGACTAATTTTTTCTGCAGTTTTGTATGAAACAATATTTTAGCATGTTTACGTCAATTCATAGTTTACGCATTCAACAAGCCAACATCCAAACTAATTCAAAACCACAAAAAGTTGCCAACACAGAACAAAATAACTCCTCTACTTTGGCAGACATTTTGTTAAGAACTACACTTTATGCATGTAGAACATCCACCTACACTCAGATGCACAGTACATTGAATTCCTTGTTCTAACCAAACTAACTAAGCACAAAGACAAGTCTTGAACTGCATTGCTTTGAATGGAAATACCTTATGCAAAATGAAAAACCCAACTTGAATCTATAAATTAAATCAACAGGGAGAACCTCGAGTCACAACCATATAACAACACACAAGTAAAACCCCATTATCCAGGTTCGATACACAATCTCCTTATCTCCATCAAATGTACTACTACCAGCATGTCTGATAGTTGGTAATAATATTGTCGTAATGGGAACGAATTAAACTATAATTCTGCAAGGAAATCATCATTCTATTGTCCATCATAAATGATAATGCAATCCCATCCTGTTTTTCTTTAAGTTTCCATTAACACTCAATACCACCCCAAAAGCAGTAATCATAGACATCCAAATTAGACTCTCCTTACACAATTTGGTACATATTCATTCTCGTTACCATCATTTATAACCCGATACCAAACACGAAGTATTAAACCAGCACGGAAACCATTGCTAACAATTATAATGGCACAAATCACAACTAATCATCAATCAAAGCAAATGGCACTGGTAAATTAACCCTAGTCAAACCCCAATTTCCAACCCACAAACTAAGATTAAAGAACATAAACATTTAGAGAGAGAAAGAGGAGAGGACAAGAGAGAGAAAGTACCCAATAAATTTGATGACACGACCCTTATCATCTCGAATAGGGGTAATGGTAAGAAGGTTCCAGAAAGGGGTGCCATCCTTCTTGTAATTCAACAATCTGCCGCAATAACTGGTCCCATTTTTCACCGCCTGTCTTATCTTGTCCACCTCGTTCTGGTCTGTTTCTGGTCCCTGCAAAAATCGGCTGCAACCAAATACAAAATATATAAATTAACCGCCATTGTTGAAGCTTCAAAGATTTGTTTTTTAAGCGGGAGGAGAGAGAAAGAAAGCAAATTGCAGGGGAAAATAAAGGAAGGAAACTAACTGGTGTTTCCATGGAAATTGCGGGAAGTTTTTGAGAGGAGATCATTTTGAGTATGACTGTATGAGTGGCAATTGGTAAGTGAAAGGAGTCGCAAGCTCCCACATCGGTCATATGGGAGGTTAGTCTGCAGTTTATTTAGGTTTATTGGGCGTTGTATTACCTCCCCTTTAAGCTAGTTTTAGGGTGATTTCTCGTAACTTTATCATATTCCGTAGTTTGAATTGGTTTTAGTTTGGGTTAATTTGATTTGGTTTGGCTTATTTGTAGATGAATGATTTCATTCAATAAGGTCACCCCAATATTAAGTGATCCAAGTTGGAGCTGAATATTGATTTGTATAATTTTTTACACAGTTGATTTGGGTTAATTCGATTAGTTTTTGTCATTAGACGTTTGGTTACTTTTACATTGGAATTCAAGATTAAAAAAAAAAATAGTAATGGTAAAATTGTAATACTTGTTAGTATTACGTAACATCTTTCTTTGACCACATTTGTGAGATTTTTGTTATTTGTGTTTAAGGTGAAAAGAGAGAGAGCGAAAGAACATTAGGAGATCCTTCTCACAAGGGGAACACCTAATTTGGGGATCTTCTTATAGTCTAATAAGTATATACTATCTGAATATCAATTTTTTTTGTACTTGTAAATTTTAATTATAATAATGACTAAAGTTATGAGATTGAAATTGTGAAAAAGAGAAAGAGAAATTAGAGGGAAAAAATAGTTATGATTCTTATGAATGACACTTGGGAAAGCTGTGACATGGTCATTGTCGCCTAATGTACACTTACCTCTACTTCAGGGAAGAAACTCAACAAAATCAACTTCAACAAGAATAAGATTGTGGTGCATAACAAAAGACATACACATACATAAAAAAATAAAAAATAAAAAAAAAAAGAATAAAAAATAAAAAATAAAAAATAAAAAAATAAATAAAATAAATAAAAAAGCTTACCAATTGCGTCCAACAACTTCCTTAGAAGAGTAGCCAGTCATAGTGAAGAATCCACTACTAGCATACATTATAGGACATTCAGGTTTAGTAGCATCTGAAACCACAAAAGTCTGCTGCAAATTAGCTAATGCATCCTTCAACTCTTGTGACGCTCTAGGAAGATGTTCTGATGTGTTAGAATTATTTGATTCCTCTGACATCCTCCTTGACTCCTTCTCGTACGAGTTTTTGCCTTGATTTCCGTCCCCTGACATTCGAATCACAACATTCGAGGTTGATGGGGCTGATTCTCCCCCATTTACTGGTACCACTGCTAGCCCCCATTCTGCTGCCCTCTCAGCCATACCGGCTTCATCATTCACTATCTCGGTATTTTTGGACACCTTATTAGAGGTCTTGTTTGCTTCAAATGCCATCCACTTATTAGAAGTCATAGCATTGCTTTTTGATGCCTCCATTTTTTTTTAGTAATCGAACATATATAGCTATACTTGAAAATGATCGTATTCCTCTGCCTGAAATAGAAAAGTTCTTGTAAGGCTTCACTATTTTCGAGCCCTTGTTTGGACATTTATTTGGAAACGATGAAAATCTTTACTTATTTTGTAACAAGGATATACATACTCCCACAGCTCCTCATTCTAGTATGAACATAATACATAACATAAGAGATTGACATGAATATTTAATATAGAGAAAACGGTAGTATGTTAACTATTTGGATCGAGTACGTGACTATAGCTAGATTAATGTTATCCATAGTTGGAAGCAGATAACATGAGACATTCCTTAGCAAATCAGGAACTAACTACATACACTAGTAACCATAACTAGTATAAAAAGCATAAAGTTAAAGTTTCCATATAAATATAAATTCATTGATGATTGACAAACTTTCCAAATGTGAAAGTTGAAAGTTATCTTAGCCTTAATGCCTAAAAAGTGAAAATGGTCTACTTTCTTGGCTATTCCCTATGATACTTTCAATCAATCAACAACTTTTAGTTCTATGTTCAGAAATAAAATCGAAATTAAAGTAAGCACATGACCAAAAACAAACCGCTAATTGTTCACAATTATGTTCCATAATAAGATTGTTAACAATGATATAAATATAACATATCTGCGCACATAATAAAAATGAAAAATAAAAATAAAAAATAAACCAAATGATGTTCTAATTTGCAATATCATCATCATCATCTTCTAACCAAATACTCGGTTTAAGCTATTGAGCGTGGCCACTTGGCAATTATCCATTGAAGCGTGTCGAATTACGAGAGATAAGTAAAGAAAAGAGTACCTGGAATGAGGGGAGAGGAGAGCAAATGAAGTGCTGCAATTCACATGAGAAAGCAAACGTGTGTGTGTGTGCAGTAGTAGCAAAGGCTAAGCTTTTACTAGTAACAAAGATGATATGATAATTATTTTTATTTTTTACAAAAATGAAAAGAAAAAAAGATGATATGATAATGTTAGTTGGACCCCTTTTTTTTGTTTGAAAATAAATAGCAACCTAACATTGCTTTGTCGATAAATCATAACCATCAATTTCTTATATTTTTTGGTACGGTTTTACGTGGAGGCCGTCCATAACATTATTTCTTTCTTCCTCTTTTAATTCTTTTGTTTTCTTCGTTGTCAATAATTAATGCTAAAAATGTGACTCTTTTTTTTGTTATTATGGACTTGTCTGAACATCTTTATTGTTGCCCAAGAAAAATCTGTATGCCAGTATTAATAATGAAGTTAAATAAATAAGATTAGAAGCATATGACTATATGGTTAGAATTAAATCATACCATAAATGTAATTATTATTAATTGGTACGTAGTAAATATATATAGAGAAAAATATACGAGATATACTATCTTGAAAACATGAATTGGTAATAATAAAATCAAAAGAAGATAATAAGAATAATACTGAGTACTTTGGAGTGCAATCTATTTAATTTAGAGTTCGTTTGGCATCAATGTGGTTTTCTGTTTTTGATTTTTTATTTTCTAAACTCATATGATATATGTCATATAATGAAATAAAAATTAGTCAAATTTATTAAAATCATGATAATTTTAAAAATTGACAACAGAATAGTGAAAACACCTTTTTCTTGTTTCCTATTTTTGAATTTTTTGTTTTAAAAACTAAAAACTAAAAACTAAAAACAAAAAATAAAAAATGATGCCAAACAAGCCCTAAGCTACTCAATTCTCCGACTTATAATGAGAGTATTCTCTAACCTCTCCTTTCCTAGTCTTATCCTTACAACCTTAAAAACATTCAAATCAAGCTCTTTTGTTTCAATTTTCTTTTAATAATGCAACAAATTTTCTCTATTTAAAATTTAAAACTTTTCATATTTATTGTCCATATGATCACAGTTTGAAAACTTAAATTAGTAAAGCCAAAATGCTTACTAAATACGTAGTAATAAATATCCACCCCAAAAGCCAAACCCCTCAAAGGCTTATAATCCGTATTAATTGGCTTGCTTGCTCAATTAATTAGCTATGTAAAAAGTATTTGCACCATAAAAATAAATATGGAACTATAGTTAAAAAATTGTGCGTTTTTAATAGATCCACATATAATGTTAGATTATTCTAGGCACTTGAAACTTGGGACCATTTACAATTAAGTCAGGGTTCAAATATAAGTTTATCTATTTTCTTTGTTAAGAAATTATTCTCTTTCTTTTCAAAAGTGTATTGCAACACGGAGAGATTTTTTTTTTAGTAAAAGTTGATAAGGAACCATGCATAAAAAGTTAAGAACATATCAGCCGGAAATTTACAGTGTACTCCGTAGAAGAGAATACTAAAAATCTTATTAGAAATGTTACAAAACTTACAATACTTGTAAAACTTTTTTATGAAACAGAAAAAATACATAAAAGTTTAATTTTTAATTTGATTAACCGAAAGTTAAAATAAAAAATAGGACCACTTTATTTTTTAATCTGTAATTTCGTTTTCTTATCCCATTTGGATAGGGAAAATGAGAGAGAAAATGAAAGCGAAAGGATAACATGGATGAGAAAAATAAGGGAAATATGAGGCTGCAAAATTTCTGTTGATTGCTACTACAAGATAGATAAATCTCCCCACATTTTGGTATTGTTTGTACTATCATTCACCTCTGATCTCTGAAATATCTGTTTAACTTGGAGTATAATTTACTTATATATCAGTATATGACAGTGGTGATCGATTTTGCTTCATTAATTATTTCCAGAATTCTAGTAATTTTTGTGATAGGGTATGACATTGTTATGTTGTACATTAGTAATACGTCATGAGGTTATGTTTATCAGTCCCATGACTAAATTAAAATAATACTATACTCGTTTCTTAAAGTTTGCTTCACTTATTTTTCTAACTTAAAATTAATGTAAATACTGTTGATGAGTTTGTGACTACATACATTGATTACGAGTAATTTTTGTGACAGGCCAATACGACAATGTAATTCGTACGTTTATATATCATCGTTGTTTTTGTTTGTCTTATGCGCCAAATAATATCAACCTTGGTACAAAGCTAATAAGTATTATTGGTAATATACTAACTGATTGATTGATTAAATGGATGTTACATATCAAGAATAATTTGTACCACACATTACATTCTTTAATGAAAAAAATATGCATGGGAATAGTATTTATTTTCACTTGGGAAGCTAGCACCACAAGTTAATTGCAATATCCATTAATGCATGCATCTTCCCATCTAATCAAGATTTTATGTTCAACTATATTGTAACACTTGCAAAGTTGTAGGGTATGTTTGTAGTGTTTTAAGGGGAAACTCCATGTTTTAACTGTTAATACAGTACAAGATTTACCTTTCAGAGATGCAAATTATCAGTATATCTATCACTGTAACAAACTTTTCTACTACAAATTCGTAGCAAGGCAACAAGGCCCTCGAGATTGGGAGAGTGATGTGCATATGTAGGAAATACACTGGACAACCTCAGCTCATTATTGTTTCATTATATGAAAGAATGAAACTTTTACTACAGGATTACGACGACGAATTCAATGGAAAAATACATTACAACTCCGTAGCTACTGTGATAAGGAGCCAAACTTATTTGTTGAAGAAATAGTCCATATATGGTTGTGCTGCATGTATTCTAAAATTCTTATACTTCCTCCGTTTCAAAAAAAATTAATACTCTCAGTAAAAATACGAGGACAAAGTGCTTTTTCGGCAAAGTGTTACAATTTTTTTTTGAAACGAAGGTAGCATATAGTGAAATTTTTTCGGAATTTGATCAAAAAACCTACCATGACCTCAAGCACACATATTCGCGGATACTGCCTTACTAAAGATGGCCCTGCATTATAAGTGATGTTACAGTGCCATCAAACATCTCTTCCAGCGGCTTGAACTTGAACCCTAAACTCTCAATCTTGGAAGTGTTGTAGGTGTAATATGGCCTATCCAACTTCGTGAACCTGATAAATGACACACAGCACATGCTTAACATGAGAAGAGCCGAATTTGTACTCAGGAGCACCATTAGTGCTGGTGATCCTGTGAGCTTTAGAGTAGGTTACACTTCGTTTTAGATAGACGGATAAGGATAAGAGGGATATCGAGATGCTAGAAATGATTTACCCTTTGGGAATAGGATGAGACGGATATCGAGATGCTAGAAATGACGCTAACTCATAATGCTCCATAACGGTGGAGCTACAAAGGTATCGACCATGCGCTTCTTTATGCTCAAAAACCAAGATGTGGCACAGAGCTATGTCGTCAATGTGAACATATCCCATCCTTCCATGAAACTCGAACTTGCTTATTTCTCCTGTTAGTTATTTCAATAATTAGGAGCTAATAACATGATAAGTATAAATATAAACAAAAATATACCTTTAAACAAGCCAAGAACATCAGATGCAGTAGAGCAAAGATTAGGAGGAAGACTTGGTCCAATTATAAAAGCAGGAAGGATTGTCACTAAATCGATGTTGTTCTCCTTGCAGAAGCTCCATGCTGCTTTCTCTGCCTCGATTTTTGACAGTGCATACCATACCTAGAATTCATGATTTGCGAACTAACACAGTTCAGTTGTAATATTGAATATAAAAATCACTATAAAGTATTTACAAGTTAAGGGTTTCCATAACTAATAGCTTAGGATGAAAATCTTGTTGTTCACTTCACAAACAACAGTTTCATGTATAGTCCATGAAATGAAAATTATCTAATTAACAGCATGAGATGCATTATGAGAGTATGAGCACCTGGAATTGTTCACAAACTTCAGTGGAGCTCCAAACTGATTCATCAAGTGGAACATCAGGGTCAATATCCACTCTTATTCTAACAGTTGAAGAAGATGAGGTAAGAACCACGCGTCTTAGTGATGGGTTCTTCTTGCATGACCGAAGCACATTCAATGTTCCCTTTATTGCAGGTTCCAATATTACTGCCTGATTATTTTTACAACAATTTATTTCCAATAATTAAATAGTTCTAAAGTTATATTTGAGAAAAACTTCTAAATGTATATTGCAGGCACAATTGACAGTAAACAACATAATCAACAACAATATTATACACGTATAGCAGTATGACAAAACAATGCAATATTATTTTGGTGTAGAAGAGTATTCAGTATAGTATTCACCTTTGCGTCTTGCTCCCTGGATCCTGAAACAGGGGAAGCGGTGTGAAATACACCTTCACAACCCCTAACTGCTTCATCAAAGCTTCCGTCTTCCATTAAATCGGCCTTTACTAATTTCAGCCTCTCTTTTGCCCCATCAAGCCTCCACAAATGCTCCACTTTTTTCTTATCACCTATTATTTCACATTTTAATTCATATTTTAGTATAGCCCCGTAATCATTATATAGAAACAAGTACAGAGTACATTATAAGAGAATATAAATCATCTAACACTAATTTTAGCACAAAGTCAAGAAGAGCATAGGAAATCGGATGAACCTGGGTCCCTGACTGTTCCAATCACAAAATAGCCAGACAAAAGGAGGCGCTTGACCAGCCAAGAGGCTAGATACCCTGAGGCCCCTGTTACGCAAACCTTGCCTTTGATCTCGAGCTTTTGCTGGTCCATCTTTTGTGCCAAGTACTACGCTTTTTTTACCAAACCAGACGTTGGCTTGTGCGTCGTATATCATTAAGGAAAATTTGCGATGAAGGTCCTTTTAAGTGGTCGACCTTGTGAGGAAGGTTCTTTTATGACAAAAGTGGTAACGAATGTCCTTTTATGGAGATTGAGTTGTGAGAAAGGTCCTTTGACCAAACTCCGACGTTGACCTATTTTTTTCGGGCCAAAAAAAATCACGTACACAGCTCGTGACCACTGAAATCTTTCTGTTTATTTTTTTTGTTTTCTTTTTTTCCCTTTCCCTCTTCTTCCTCGATTTTCCTTTTTCCCCCACATTTTGGTATTGTTTGTACTATCATTCACCTCTGATCTCTGAAATATCTGTTTAACTTGGAGTATCATTTACCTATATATCAGTGTATGACAGTTGTGATCGATTTTGCTTCATTAATATTTCCTGAATTCTACTAATTTTTGTGATAGGGTATGACATTGTTATAATGTTATGTTGTACAATAGTAATATGTCATGAGGTTAAGTTTATCAGTCCCACAACTAAATTAAAATAATACTATACTCGTTTTTTAAAGTTTGCTTCACTTATTTTTCTAACTCAAAATAAATGTAAATACTGGTGATGAGTTTGTGACTACATACATTGATTACGAGTAATTTTTGTGGTAGGCCAATACAACAATGTAATTCGTACGTGTATATATCATTGTTGGTTTTGTTTGTCTTATGCGCCAAATAATATCAACCTTGGTACAAAGCTAATAAGTATTATTGGTAATGTATTAACTGATTGATTGATTAAATGGATGTTACATATCAAGAATAATTTGTACCACACATTACATTCTTTAATGAAAAAAATATGCATGGGAATAGTATTTTTTTTTCATTTGGGAAGCTAGCACCACAAGTTAATTGCAATATCCATTAATGCATGCATCTTCCCATCTAATCAAGATTTTATGTTCAACTATATTGTAACACTTGCAAAGTTGTAGGGTATGTTAGTAGTATTTTACGGGGAAACTCCATGTTTTAACTGTTAATACAGTACAAGATATACCTTTCAGAGATGCAAATTTTCACTTGGGAAGCTAGCACCACAAGTTAATTGCAATATCCATTAATGCATGCATAATTCCCTTCTAATCAAGATTTTATGTTCATCTATATTGTAAAACTTGCAAAGTGGTAGGGTATGTTTGTAGTGTTTTACGGGGAAACTCCATGTTTTAACTGTTAATACAGTACAAGATATACCTTTCAGAGATGCAAATTATCAGTATATCTATCACTGTAACAAACTTTTTTACTAAAAATTCAATTCGTAGCAAGGCACCGATTTGACCCGATTTGAACTTAATCTGACACCGATTTGACCCGATTTGAACTCAACCCGAACCCGATATGACTCGACTTAAACTCAAACCGAACCGATTTGACCCGACTTGAACTCAACCCGATCCGAAAATGACCTGAAAAATAACCGATTTAATTCGATCTGTCTTAACCCGAACTAATATTAACCTGACCCGATTCGATTTTAACCCGACCATAATTTTAAACCTAACCTATTATTGACTTTTTTTTTTCAATTTCTTATACTACTATATATTTACAAATTTACTAATTATTAATAAGTTAGAATGTCTAAACTCTATACTAACAAATATCTTGTACAAATTGAATTAGTAATAAAGCAAACTAATAGTACTCGTAGCCTTATGAGATTAAACAATTGAAGAGCAATACCTTATAAAAATGACATTCTTTTTTGTATATCACCATATATGTGACTATCATCTATCAGTCTATCACTAGTTCATTACTAATCGTCTCACTTATGTACATAGGTATGATGTGTTATCGATAACTATTCAATTTAAATTTGGCTCTAGATAAATATTACACAAGAATTGATTGAATGAGAAAACTAATTCTTCGCATTTTGTAATAATTAACCATGCAATATAAGAAATGACACATGAATAACTTAATATATCGACCCAATAATAAATTCAATAATTACTCTAGTTTAAAAATGACCTTATTTAAATATTGAATTTGATCAACTCGACCAAAATCTAGACAAACACGCAAAGTATTTGAATCGAAATTGACCAAATACTGAATCAACCTTATCTTAATCAAACCGAACTTGACCGAACCAAAATCAATCCGACCCAAATTCATCCGACCCGAAATTAACCCGGTCAAACCCATTTTGAACCCGGTTGGAATTTATCCGAACCAAACATAAAATGATCTGGAGTTCACCCGACCCATATCCGACCCGTACTCAATAGACCATGACCCAAATTTGACCTGACCCGTATTTGACCTGATCCGAGTTAAAAGAATAATTTTGACCCGAATAGACCCAACCCGAACAGACCCGAATAAATCCGACCCAAACTCCATCCGGTTATCCAAATTAACACCTCTAATCATCAGTATATCATCGTTACAAACATTTCTCCGGAGTACCAAAAATTTCGTAGCAAAGCAACAAGGCCACCCTCGAGATCGTGAGAGTGATATGCATATGAAAGAGATAAACTGGACAATCTCAGCTCATTGTTTTATTATGAAACGTTTATATTACAGGCTTCCCCTACGAATTCTATGGAAAATGTGATAAGGAGTCAAACTACATTGAAAATAACAGTTGATATATAGTTTTGTTGTATTCTGAAATTCTAATGTAACATAAGCTGATTTTGTTTTTAAAGTACTACGGAATTAGATCAAAAGCACTTAGCACCATGATCTCAAATACACATATATGTGGTTACTGTCTCCTGAAGATGGCCCTGCATTATAAGTGATGTTACAGTGTCATCAAACATCTCTTCCAGTGGCTTGAACTTGAACCCTAAACTCTCAATCTTGGAAGTGTTGTAGGTGTAATATGGCCTATCCAACTTCGTGAACCTGATAAATGACACACAACACATGCTTGACATGAGAAGAACCGAATTTGGTGTTTGATTAAATTTGGTGTTTGATTAATGCTTACAAGCATACCACCTCATATTTCTCATTAGCTCTCAAAATAGGTAGATAAATCCTGCCTTCATGCTAGTTATCAAACAATTAGAGATGAACTCATTAAAAAGAAATAGTTAAAGGTGAAGTGATTTACCCTCTCGGAATAGGATAAGACGGATATCGAGATGCTAGAAATGACGCTAATTCATAATGCTCCATAACAGTGGAGCTACAAAGGTATCGACCATGCGCTTCTTTATGCTCAAAAACCAAGATGTGGCACAGAGCTATGTCGTCAATGTGAACATATCCCATCCTTCCATGAAACTCGAACTTGCTTGTTTCTCCTGTTAGTTATTTCAATAATTAGGAGCTAATAACATGATAAGTATAAATATAAACAAAAAATATACCTTTAAACAAGCCAAGAACATCAGATGCAGTAGAGCAAAGATTAGGAGGAAGACTTGGTCCAATTATAAAAGCAGGAAGGATTGTCACTAAATCGATGTTGTTCTCCTTGCAGAAGCTCCATGCTGCTTTCTCTGCCTCGATTTTTGACAGTGCATACCATACCTAGAATTCATGATTTGCAAACTAACACAGTTCAGTTGTAATATTGAATATAGAAACCACTATAAAGTATTTACATGTTAAAGGTTTCCATAACTAATAGCTTAGGATGGAAATCTTGTTGTTCACTTCACAAACAACAGTTTCATAGTCCATGAAATGAAAATTACAGAATTAACAGCATGAGATACATTATGAGAGTATGAGCACCTGGAATTGTTCACAAACTTCAGTGGAGCTCCAAACTGATTCATCAAGTGGAACATCAGGGTCAATATCCACTCTTATTCTAACAGTTGAAGAAGATGAGGTAAGAACCACGCGTCTTAGTGATGGGTTCTTCTTGCATGACCGAAGCACATTCAATGTTCCCTTTATTGCAGGTTCCAATATTTCTGCCTGATTATTTTTACAAGAATTTATTTCCAAAATAATTAAATAGTCCTAAAATTATATTTGAGAAAAACTTCTAAATGTATATTGCTGGCACAATTGACAGTAAACTCCCATTACTCTTATAACAAGTATCCTCAAAAATAAAAAAAAATTAACAAAGAAACAATAATAGTAAATGAAATATAACAGTATGAAAATCAATGTAATAATGTAATATCATTTTGAAGAAGAGTAATCACCTTTGGGTCTTTCTTGGATCCTGAAACAGGGGAAGCAGTGTGAAATACACCTTCACAGCCATTAACAGCTTCATCAAAGCTTCCCTCTTCCATTAAATCAGCCTTTACTAATTTCAACCTCTCTTTTGCCCCATCAAGCCTCCACAAATGCTCCACTTTTTTGTTATCACCTATTATTTCACATATTAATTCATTTTTAGTATAGCCCATAATCATCATATAGAAAGAAGTACAGAATACATTTTAAGAGAATATTGTCCTTAGTCCATATAAATCATCTAACACTAATTTTAGCACAAAATCAAGAAGAGCATAGGAAATTGGATGAACCTGGGTCCCTGACTGTTCCAATCACAAAATAGCCAGACAAAAGGAGGCGCTTGACCAGCCAAGAGGCTAGATACCCTGAGGCCCCTGTTACGCAAACCTTGCCTTTGATCTCGAGCTTTTGCTGTTCCATCTTTTGTGCCAAGTACTATGCTTTTTTTACCAAACCAGATATCGGCTTGTGTGTATATATATCATGGGCTGATCTATCATCCCCATCCCAATCTTTTACATAGGTCTGGGATGGATAAAAAGGATGGTGAAACATGATATGCTCGTGACGAACTGTCATTAGTTTTAATTCGTAATAGAAATTAAGCAGAAAATGAATGAAAGGCGGAGTTTGGTTACTGAACATCATTCATGCATATCTATGTCAGAAGCTTTTTGATATGCTTCATGCAAAAGTTCTTTCGGATATGATTCTTGTGCAGATGCATATAATGATATAAACCATGCATTCTACCCTAGTACTCAGTTGTTTCGGTTAGAAAACAATGGACCTTCGGGTAGGTCCTTCGTAAAGGTGGAGATGAAGCCCAATTCCAGAGACGTCCGAATTATTGAGGTTTCCTGCACAGCTGAACAAACGTAAATTGGCCTCGGGGGTTGTGCCGAGGAAGGCCCCTCCGATGTCGAAGTCAGTACGATTGTAAAAAGAGAGGGAAAATAGCTATGCAAGAGAAATTAGTTGCTTGAGGCTATGTGTGAATGAATGTAAATGTTGTCAAGTAATGAGCTTTTATACCTTAGCTTTGATGAGTAATATGGGCCTTTGGAAGTCAAGTGGGCTGGCCACTTGGACTAGACCATGGACTTACTTAGCATTTTGGATTGGAGAGTTGAACCTTGCCATTGGGCCTTGTTTATTTTCATTTATGGACTGGACCCAAATAAAAGTTATTTGGACCCCAAACAACTTGCCCCCCAGACCTGATTCGTGAGGATAACGGGTCGGGTTTTCT